GGGACATGGAGTGTATATAGTGTGTATACTGGGGGGGGACACCCCGCATGTATACAGTCACTGTGTATAATATATAGTTATAACCAGTATACACACACAGCCTGCCCAGCATGGTACCAGGAGAGCACCCCAAATGTATACAGTCAGTCTGTGTAATATATAATTATACACAGTATAAACGCCCAGCATGGTACCAGGAGAGCACCCCACATGTATACAGTCACTGTGTATAATATATAATTATAACCAGTATAACCACACAGCCTGCCCAGCATGGTACCAGGAGACCACCCCGCATGTATACAGTCACTGTGTATAATATATAATTATAACCAGTATACACACACAGCCTGCCCAGCATGGTACCAGGAGCACCCCGCATGTATACAGTCACTGTGTATAATATATAATTATAACCAGTATACATACACAGTCTGCCCAGCATGGTACCTACCAGGAGAGCACCCCGCATGTATACAGTCACTGTGTATAATATATCATTATAACCAGTATAACCACACAGCCTGCCCAGCATGGTACCAGGAGCACCCCGCATGTATACAGTCACTGTGTATAATATATAATTATAACCAGTATACACACACAGCCTGCCCAGCATGGTACCAGGAGAGCACCCCGCATGTATACAGTCACTGTGTATAATATATCATTATAACCAGTATAACCACACAGCCTGCCCAGCATGGTACCAGGAGAGCACCCCGCATGTATACAGTCACTGTGTATAATATATAATTATAACCAGTATACACACACAGCCTGCCCAGCATGGTACCAGGAGAGCACCCCGCATGTATACAGTCACTGTGTATAATATATAATTATAACCAGTATACACACACAGCCTGCCCAGCATGGTACCAGGAGAGCACCCCGCATGTATACAGTGTGTGTAATATATAATTATAACCAGTATAACCACACAGCCTGCCCAGCATGGTACCAGGAGAGCACCCCGCATGTATACAGTCACTGTGTATAATATATAATTATAACCAGTATAACCACACAGCCTGCCCAGCATGGTACCAGGAGAGCACCCCGCATGTATACAGTCACTGTGTATAATATATAATTATAACCAGTATAACCACACAGCCTGCCCAGCATGGTACCAGGAGAGCACCCCGCATGTATACAGTCACTGTGTATAATATATAATTATAACCAGTATAACCACACAGCCTGCCCAGCATGGTACCAGGAGCACCCCGCATGTATACAGTGTGTGTAATATATAATTATAACCAGTATAACCACACAGCCTGCCCAGCATGGTACCAGGAGCACCCCGCATGTATACAGTCACTGTGTATAATATATAATTATAACCAGTATAACCACACAGCCTGCCCAGCATGGTACCAGGAGAGCACCCCACATGTATACAGTGTGTGTAATATATCATCATACCCAGAATACACACACAGCCTGCCCAGCATGGTACCAGGAGCACGTCAGTGTGTGTATTGAAAGCTACAAAGAGTTAGTTATGGTTGTTGGCCTGTTACTTACCAATTCCCCCATCAAGACATTTCAGATTATTTGATATAGAGATCAGGTGACTTTATTGCAGGGATTGGCATGTTCTCACATACAGGTTAGTTGTTTCTGAGCATTATTGGGGGCAAACACGAGCTGATTAAGTGATCATAACCATATACCGCCTCTTCAATGAGAGAGTGAATTTCAAGTTTAAAGCAAAACTAGCCATGCTGGAAAAAAAAAAGCTTGAAAATTGAAATTCACTATGTCACTTTATGAATAACCCCATGAATATAGCAGAAAGCTACAAATATAAGGAGGCTGAGAGCAGAAAGCTGTGTATGGGGAATAGGAATGACCGGCACCACAAAATATAGCCCCCAACACACACAAACACTGGCAGTGCCATGTTATTGGGAACCCCATTGCAATTTTTATTTTAAAATAATGTATGGCTGAGAGAATAATTTAGTATGCTAAAATAAGATCTTACCCCACACACACACTCTCCACTCTCTCCAATGGCTTCACAGCCCGTTAATAGGCTTGCATTCTCTGTTTCAGAACACACACATTATTTGTTCATGTTGATGGGGCATGCATTATGTATAATTTATAAATGTCAGAATTCCTTGTAGATTAATGACCATTTTCTACCTCGTCAGCACTTCTTGTCTGTCTGTACAAGTGATTTGTATAGGAAAACAGTTAACATGAGAACCGCAATAAACGCACCTGCCAATTATACAGAGTTGGCATTTTTCTTGACTTGTCAAATGCAGTTTAAAGAATTCAGCTATCCCAATATATATATTTTTAATGCATTAGAAATAATAATAAAGTCACCTTTTTTAAACTGCCCCTTGAAGCCCTGTGTAGTGGAGCGGCTGAAGTCAGACCCCATTACACCAGGCAGAGCCCTGTCTGTGACCCAAATTCTGAAACCCACTCTACACTCTTTGATATGTCAGTGTGCTTTAACTGAAGCCATGTTTCAGATGCCACTTGCAAATGTTTGCTATGAATTTCTGATGCTGTAGCAGATGTTAGTGCATTTCTCGGTTAGAAGGTATTTCCTTGTTCTGTGACCTGCTCTACCCACCCGGTTGTCTTACCATGCTGCCTGTTGTGCTAGTGTGCCCTCTGCTGTCTGGAGTGCTGTGCTTTGCAATCTGTGTGTGTGTGTGTGTGTATATATATATATATATATATATATATATATATATATATATATATATATATATCTCTCTAACGCTATGGTTTTCTGCTTCAAACAGGATGTGAATTGTCATCGAAAACAAAACGTTACACGTTCGAGGTGGATGAAGAGGATGAATGTGAACACAGCCTGTCCTTGCACACTGTAAGTCTTCCGTATTGTGCTGCTTACACAATGGGATGTTAATGCACTACGTGACAATTTCTAATACAAAAATAGTAACGTTTTTCTTCACTTAATGGGTGTCGTTATAGTCACCAGAACCACTACAGCTTCATGTAGTGATTATGGTGTCATTAGCCTGTTTCGGCAGTCTTGGCACTGTAAACGCTGCCTTTTCAGAGAAAGGCAGTATTTTCATTGCTGCCTATTGTCACCTCTAGTGGCAGTCATGCTTCTATAGTCCGTGTGCGTAATATATAACTACACACATTTTACTCCCAAGACATACACAGTAAGAGTAGTAGAGGGGAATTTTACCTTCCAATGTAAATATTACAATACCAAAAAAAACTGAAATGTTTTACATTGCAAAGTTAAAACATAATGACCACTGCACCAAAAACTATTTAATTAAGATAGTGGTCTTAGTGATTATTATGTTTAAGCTCTACACGTCCATCTCACCAGTAAGTGGGTATTAATTAGGGATCGGCCGATATTGATTTTTTTTTTAGATCCGATGCCAATAATCTGTGAAATTTCAGGCCGGTAGCTTACCGATGTTCCGTATTTTTTTTTTTTTTTTTATTAAGTGGTAAATGTACAAAATATACATGCCTGTCAGATTTTTGTTTTCTATTATGTGTGTGTGTAGTGGATGCAGTGAGAGTAGTGGATTAGTAAATGCAGTGTGTGTGTGGTGGATGCAAATATGTGCGGTAGGAACACCCCCCATTCCCCTTAATGTTCCTCTCCCTTCTCTTTTAGTGGTCCCTACCCCAGTGATCATTTTCCCTTCCCTCCCCTATACCTCAGTGTCCTCCCTTAATGTTCCTTTCTCCCTCTTCCCTGTCCCATAGTGTTCTTCACTTCCCTGTCCCATTCTCTCTCCCCTCCTTGGTCCCCGGTGTGTATCTCCCCTCCTTGGTCCCCGCTCCCTGGTGTGTCTCCTGGTAGCGTGGCCAAGCAGAGCAGTGCGCACCGCGGTACAGGAGATTGTCTTCTGTACTCGGTCGGACTGACAGGAAGTGCTCTCTGTGAGCACTTCCTTACAGTCCAGCCGATTACAGGAAATATAAGTTCCTGTACCGCAGCATGCACTGTTTCACTCGGCCATGCTACACAGAGTGCCTGGCAGGAAGGGAGCGCTGTGGGCCCTATCGGTATTGCCGGTGATTATCGGCTGATCCTTACAAGAAATCGGCATATCGGTCGATCCCTAGTATTAAATCAAGCTACGCATAACTGCTTTCACAGCTAGAGAGGTTAAAGGAACACGCCAAGTACCATAACCACTACAACCCTTTGAGAATGGTTTGACAACTTACTTGGGATCCGCTGTTCACCTCTCCGTGTGCACTAGCTCCACTGCGCAGAGCCCTGCCATGCAGTAGTCAGCTTACTGGTTGAATGTCAGCTGAGCTCTCTCAGCCAATAAGCTAACCTAAGTTCAATGCAGTGACAACCGGTACCTTCTTACGCTACCAGTGCATGCTTGGCACCATAAACACTACAGCAAGCTGTAGGAGTTATGGTGTTTGGA